GTAACTTACCTTGTCCTGTTTTATTGAGCTTTTTAATTCACTGTGTATCTTGGTGTTCACTTTTTCATGTCCTCATGGCTCCTTTCCCCCAGATGTGTTTGTGTGGCCACAGCTCCCTTAACTGTGGACCCCAGTGTCTCTCACAGTGACCACCATATAGAAGTGCTCAATGAATATCTGGAAACATCCTTCAAAGGTTTCAATAGATTTTAACCATCATTTTATTTTTGAGGATAGGATGAGGGTGATGAAAGACTTAACTCCCATTTTATGGCTATTAGATGATCAAATTCCTTTCTTTGAAATTCAATGTTAAGCTTTGGATAAAAAAGGGCATTTTTTTAAGTGATAATACCTACCATCTGAGAATTTTTGATGTTCCTCATTGTCATCTGTGGTGGGTGAGGTGGTCTTTTTATCCTCTTTGGCTAAGTCAGCTTCTAAAAGTCAGGAAATTAAGTATTAAATTAATTGAAAAGATTAAACAAACCTCATATGAGAATTATTTCATTGATATGGTAATAAGCAGAGATCTCCAAAATCTGCAAAGTTCTGATTACTTTTAATGCTCTGACCTTGGAACCTCTGAAACAGTGTTTTGGCAAAGTCAAATGGTGACAGAGTCAAGACCAATTGAATGGACATTATAGAATGCAACTAACAACCACTGCTCTCAGCACCCAGCACGTTCCTCAGCCCCACAGCATGGAGCACACCAGCTCCACAGCGTGACTGTGGCTCCGGAGGCCAAGGTCCTCCCCTCCCACCCTGGTTTCATGCCTGCCCCTCCTCCCACCCCACCCCACAACGCCATTCCACAATTGCTCTCATCAAAGTCACAAATGACCTTTGTGTCATACATCCACTGGGTACTTCTTAGGCCCCATTTTCTTTGACCCCCCACCCCACCCGAGCCGGGCAGCATCTGACAGTGTAGACCAATTCTCGTTCCTGAAACACTCTGCCTTTAGGCCTTCCATGACAGGAGATCTCAGGGGCTGTCCTGACTCTCTGGTAGCCCCTTCCTCACAGTCCTCTGTCAGCTCTTCCTGCTCTATGTAACAATTAAAAGTGAAGTCCCCTCAGGCCTTCTCTCTCTCTTCCTCTGGTCTCCATCATACTCACGGCCTCATTTGTATTTACGAGTCAAAAACTTCCAATTGGTAACTGCAGTCCGGGTCTTGCTGAGCTCCAGAAAGTATGCAGTTCTCTACCTGATGTTTCTATTTTAGATATTTCATAGGTATTTCAGAATCAAAATGTAAGGAACTAAACTCACCCTTTCTCTCCTCTGACACTGCACCCTTCCTCTCCCACCTAACACACAGGCATACAGGCACATACACACTCTCTCTCTCTTTCTCAAATGATGATCCTTTACTGTCTTTTCCCATATCACTAAATCCACCCTGTTGCTCAACCAGAAGAAGCCCAAGTCCTCTGGGATTCCCAGAGCCAGTCCGTCATCAAATCGCAATAATTTCACCTCCTAAACATGTCTCAGAATTCTCCAGCCTCTACCCTTAGCTGTAATATCTCCTTCTGTGACACTGTGCTACCCTCCTCATACCAGTCTCTCTGCAGACAGTCTACCCTCATTCCCATCTGTCCACCAAACTAATCACAACCTGATCGGGTCGCTCTCCACCCAGAAGCCTCTGTGACTCTCATCCACCCGCCATGGCTCTGTCTCTCAGGTTCATCTTGTTAGGCTTTGGCCACACAAGCTGCAGTTTTTCAAACACGATATCATCTGCTTTCCTGTCTCAAGTTCTCTTCTCACATCCCCAGGCATAAGCTCCCACAGCATAGCACCCTGTATTTCTCATTCCTGAGACTCCCTATAGCTGCAGTCATTTGTAGAACATATGATCCCTTGATAGACTGTAGGTTCCAAAGGGCAAGAACAGGTCTATCTTATCCACCCCCATGTTTCTAGCTCCTGGTGCTGGCTTAAAATTGCTATCCCGTAAATACGGGTAGAAGGAAGGAACACTGGGCTTTCAACAGGCTAAAGTACTCTGCGTAAGTGAATTTACCTATTTCTGTTTCTATTTCCATATTTCAGATGAGATTTTCTTTAAGGCAAGAGAAAGAAAGATGACAGCACTTCCTTGTGAGTTTATGATTAGAGAAAATACCAAGAAGGAAAATAAGCTTTTTGAAATTTATTTTTTTTTTACATTATCTAAAAGTAGTTGTAGTGTTGTGGGTTGAACCATGTTCCCTAAAAAGACATGTGGAAGCCCTGATCCCCGGTACCAGTAAATGTGACCTTATTTGAAATATCATTTTAGCAGATATAATCAAGTTAAGATGGGGTCGTACTGGATTAAGGTGGGCCCCCAGTGCAATGACTGATGTCCTCATAGAGAGAGAGAGATTTGGAAACATAGACACACATGGAGGGAAGACAGACTTACGAACAGAGGCTGAGCTTGGAATGAAGCAGCTAAAGGTGAAGAATGCCAAGCATTGATACCAGGAGCTAGGAGAGAGAGGCAGGGAAGCATTCTTCCCTAGAGCCTTCAGAGGGAGCATGGCCTCACCGACGTCTTGAGTTAGATCTTGTAGGCACCAGGAACATGAGAAAATACATTTCTGTTGTTCCAAGCCACCCAGTTTGCAGTAATTTGCTATGGCAGCCCTAGGGAACTAATACACATGGCACACACAAACTTTATAAGGTTATGGTGTTTTTAAGATATGATTTCTTCAGCATCCTTATGAGATGTTTTATTTCAAAGGACACACTAAACCTGGCAGTTTATTTTTTCAATGATTTACCTTAAAAGTGGTGAACCATGGATTATTCTTATCTATATTAAATAATGATTCAGTTTGAACAAATATTTTTAATACTCTTTTAACAGCAACCCAATAAAACATCGTATCTAAAAGATTACCTGATTGATATGGCTGAAAACTGATCAGCTCTCCAAGTGCAACAAGTTTCTCCTATGGAAAAATTTTTTAATCAGAGAATTAAATGACCACAATGACTAACTTAATCATTCTTTAATTAAAAAAAACCACTTTGATTCTTAATTTTTAAGTCATCCACAAATGTCTCTAATGTATAGAAATTATATAACCAAATGAGTAGTGTGTTCTGCTGATTTCTTCAAACTTGTATTGTCTCCTTATTGTTCTTAGGAATAAGATGCAAATTGGACCCACAAAGAAACCAAAATGGGGAATTGTTTTAAGGCCATTATCGAAGTCAGTTCCCCTGTAGCTATTCTGACATTACCTGAATTAGATCGCTTGTCATTCTGGTCATTATTTGTTCACTTATTTCAATATCTTTGAGATCCGTAAGAACCACCCACGTTCCATTCTCAAATTTCACAGGCATGGAAAACACGATCCCTTCGGGGATACCAAACTGGCCTGCAGGGAGCAAACACAGAGCAAAGCAAAACAAAAGCATTCAGATAAATTAACCTTCCTGGTAACACTGTAGAAAAGGATAGACATGGTACATGATTTTTAATGATAATGGTGGATCTAAATTTCTGTGAATTCCTCCCCAGGGAAGACTGAAGCATTTACTCAGCAATTATTGACTGAGTGCCTCTCCAAGTCCTGACAACTCCCTGTTCTGGGTGTCTCTCGGAAGGAAGAACCACTTCTTTATCCCTTCTGTTCCTGCTGGGTTCGGACGCCCTGCCTCTACTGCGGGGACTAACACAGCCTTTCTCTCCCATCTCGTCTGGATTCCTTTTGCCTCTGCTTCTTCGGCCTTTCCCTGTTCCCCTAGGAAGCCCCTGAGCACAAGCTGGCCTGTGCTCTTCTCACTACTGCAGTCATGTGGCTACGCCGCGAGGACAGGGAAGGGATAGAGGCGGTGCAGAAGAGTCAGTGATTTCCCAGCCTTTCTCAGTTCCCAGCTTAAGCCTGCTCCAAATAAAAAGACTGATAATGCTTATTACTAACGGAGCAACTTCAGATAAAATTGCCCCTCATTTTTTGTGCCTCAATCAAATAAGAATATTATTCCTGCCATTCTAGTCATCAAAAAAGTTGTCACTAGGGCAAAATATTGAGGATAATCAAGAAACCAGGATCTAAAAGACTTTTCTGGACAGGATGTCCCAAGTTGTCTGTTCACAATGTGTTTTATCTGTCAAGAGCCAGTCTTATGAACGAACAATAGATGAGGGTTTACCTACATGGTACCATTCCAGGGACACAATGATCACTTGCTCCTCACCTCCCTTGCTCCAATATTGCACTATTTATTGATGAATTTCTAAAGAGATTAATTAAACTTTCTATAAGTGAAGATAAAGCTTTAAATGCCTATTTCACTAAAAAAGTAACTGTGATTTGAATTCACACTCTGGGGATGCTCATGCACCTTAATTTCAATTGAACAAGACTCACTGAGTATCTACCCATGAAGGAGCAGCAAGAAGACCCAGCCAAGGCCCTGCCCTCAGGGTGTATGAACTCTAAGGGGGGATATATGCAACTAACCATCCCATCAATAAAGGCGGCTGTAATGTGCTCGCTGAGACAGGAACAGATGCTATGGGAGTGCAGAGGAGAGACAGAGATTAACTCTCTCTTGGGGGATTTTGGGAGATTTCCTTGAGCTGCACCATAGTCACTGAAACAATGGGGAGGATCTTGGTTCCACTAATAATAGAAAGAATACAGGAGGTGGGCCAGACTGGGGAGGAAGACAACAGGTTCAGTTTGATG